GAGAGGATCATAGTCTAAACAAGAAACGAAGAATGCATCCTCGATTTCTCGCTTTGGTTCCGACTCAATCGATCAGAAACTCCTCGGAGACTCTGCTCTGCAACCGCCTTGTAGTAGTAATACTGTCCATGAACAGATCTCTTGTATCCACTAGTCTCATTAGAGACCTCAATTCTCTGTTTCGGCGCGCTCTGTGACCGGACTTTAGCTTTATAAGACTCAGTATTAGCCATGTAATTCGGGTGATAACCCGAGTAGTAATAGTTATTACACCCCCAAGAATACTCGCTTCTAGTCGTAGTAGGCGTAAACGGAGTTCTTCTTCTTGAGCCACTTGATCCAACTTGAGGACTATTCTCTGTACTTCTCGGACACAACAATGGTTGTTGTCTTTTCCTCGGAGACTCGTTGTTTCGATCCGAACGTAGCGGTTTTGAATGATAATGAGGCTTCCAAGTATCAACTTCTAGGATCTTGTCTTCGTTTTCCTCGCCTTGCCAATCTAACCGTTTGGAGCCACGGTGGTCTATAGCGATAACTTCAGCGTTTGAAACGCAGCGCGTGTGGAGAGAACGCGGAGAAGAAGTTGAAGAAGGGAACAATAGTGCGGTTGAGGAATGGAATGAAGCAGAGGAGTGAGAGGAACGAGAGGCTCGAGCTCGAGCTTGAGATTGGAGACGAACTAGAGTTTGCATTCTTCTAAGCATATCTGCGGTTTGTTTTCTTACTATGTGTCCTCTCACTAAAGCTTGAAGCTTCACTAATGCCTTTAGTGCTCTTAATGCCCTTCTTGCCTGAATTTTGTTCCAACATTAATAAACAAAAGCACTTCAAATCCAATCAACAATACATTGGTTTAAATTGTTAGTTTGTGTTTGTGTTTACCAAAGTCATAATCCCACATGTAAAGTCACTAATTTCTGGCATATAAAAATTGAAAATTGACTCCATGTTTCAATCAGTTTGAAGTAAAAATTGGCTCCACCAAAAAAAATCAAAAATTGAGTTTGCTTAAAAGTGGAAAACAAAGATGAGGTAAGTTTAGTGATTATATGAAAACATAATCATGGCTTTGCCAACTAATTTTGAACCAAAAGGAAAATGAAATAAAAATGCATTTGTGGTTAGTGAAATTATTCTATTTTGCTTTTATTAGTTTCCCAACCACTTCCACTTGTAACAAAATTTAGTAATAACAGAGCCCACAGTTTGCAAAAGTATGTCTCTCAAGGTCAAATGTGCAAACACACACGAGTTCTTCTTTTCACATTGGTCGAAATTCGATAACATTAAATCTTGGAAATTACTACTCGAACTAGAGAATCTCCAAATTCCGTGTTGTGAACCTTTTATTGATAAACAATTCACTTATAGAAAACATGAAAAGGATCAAAACATGGTTAAAAAAAAAACACACACAACTTTATAAGTATGTTTTTGGTTAAAGAATTCACCTTTAAAGTACATGAAAAACAAAAATAAAGTTTCTCCTAAAGCAAAATAGAGCCCATCTGTAAAATACTAATCAGTGACCAAAAAAAAAGAAACGTTTTTTCAAATAAGAAAAAAAATAAGGGGGAAAAAGAACTTGGCCCCTAATCTTTACAACTCAAATCAAATGATTCACACCAACACTAATGTAAGTTTTCATTTCAAAATACTGAGAAAAAAACTACATGTTGGCCACTTATCAGATCGATCTTAATAACAAAAAGTGTTTAAGAAAAATTTGTAATATCTTTGGGAAGAAAGTGTGCCATTTAAATTATAACCACTAAAGATAGTGTCGGTAGAGTGTAACAAATTTCCAAGAATTTTTCTCTGTTTCACATTTGTTTGTCTTCTTCTATACTCTGTTCCTTTGGGACCAACCCC